TTGCTGGCATATTGAATGTAGCACCTTAACAGCATCACCTTTTAAGATTTTAAATAGTTCCACTGGAATGCCATCACCTCCACTGGCGTTGTTGTTAGACAAGCTTTCTAAGGCCCACTTGACTTCACTCTCCAGGATGTCTGGCTCAAGGTCAAATATATATATATATTTATAAAAAATGAAAAACTGCTTGCCAAAACGCATTATGAGGGACAAAACACAGAACTGCTTACACATTCTTGTGTGCATAAAAAAATATAAACCAAAATATATATCAATGTTCATGAAGACTTTAACACAAATCATGAGCTCATAGGGAAAGGAAGAAACAAAGTAAAAAAATGGTGCAAGTTACAAAGAATAAAACAAAAAATCTGACCCATCCAGAATTGCTGCCAGGCTGGCTACATGCAAGAAAACTCTATGACCCACCTGTGTGCCTCTTGAGAGGCATGTGGGTGGGATGTTGTGAGAAGCAAATGACTGCTGGAATACACAAGATAGATCACTGCTGGAGTATGGAAAAGTAACTTCATTGGACTTCAAAATCCCCCAGGGGGTATGGCTGTTGGCTACACCAGTTGGGGAATGCTATCATAGAATCATCGAACACAGTGGTGCCTCGCAAGATGAATGTGATTTGTTCCGCGAGAAGCGCCGTCTTGCGAGGTCTGCTATGGGAACCTCGCAAGACGAATGACATTTTTGTCTTGTGAGGCATCGTTCTCGGTGTGTGTGTGTGTGAAACCGTCTTGCGAAGCATGGCCATAGAAGAAACCGTCTTGCGAGGCACCATAGCGATCGCAAAAAACAATCATCTTGCGGGTTTTTCGTCCCACGAGGCATTCGTCTTGCGAGGCACCACTGTAATTGAGCTGGAAGGAGCCTACAAGGCTATCGAGTCCAACCCCTCAATGCAGAAATCCAAATCAAATCTGAACTGGTTGTCCAATTTTCTCTGGAATGCCTCTAGCATTGGAGTACTCACCACCTGCCAAGGTCATTGGCTCCATTGCCATACTGCTCTAACAGTTAAGAAGTTTTTTTTCTGATATTCAGCCAAAATCTGGATTTCTGTAGCTTGAGACCATTGTTATGTGTCCTACACTTCAGAATGATTGAGAACAGATCCTGTCCCAACTCTATATCAGAGGTCTCCAACCCCTGGTCCGTGGCCTGGTGCCGATCTGTGGCCTGAGCTGGACCGGGCTGCGGAGACAGACCTCCTGCCCTGCTCCCCACATGCACTCACCCCTACACAGCTGATTCACACATGCGCACACACTCCAGGGTGCCTGAGCAAGTGCTGTGCCACCGTTTGCACATGTGCACAAGTGCAAGCGCACCCAAGCAAGCGCCGTGCTGCCATTTATTTATTTATTTATTTATTTATTGTACTTATATCCCGCCTATCTAGTCAGCTCAGGACCACTCTAGGCGCATGCACATGAGTGTGCGGCACCTGCACAAGTGCCTTGCTGCTGTTTGCACATGCACATGAGCGCGCACGCCTGCACAAGCACCGTGCCGCTGTTTTTGCATGCGCATGAGTGCATGCTTGTTTGTGTGTGAGAGAGTGTGTGCGCTTGTTCGTGCATGCGCACAAGCATGGAGGGGTGCCCCCGCCTTCCCCAGCTGGTCGGCGGGGTGAAGAAGATTGGGGACTCCTGCTCTATATGACTACCTTTCAGGTATCTGAAAAGTGCTATCATAATCTCCTCTCAATCTTCTTTTCTCAAGGCTAAACATGGCCAACTCTTTCAATCTTTCTGCATAGGACTTGGTTTCCAGTCCCCTCATCATCCTTGCTGCCCTCCTCTGCTCCATTTTTTGGCATCCTTCTTAAAGTATGGTGTCCAGAACGGGACCCAGTATGAGACCTAACCAATGCTGAATATCATCTAATAAAGCAACTTTTATAAGTGTTAGGGCTGTTCATCTATATATATCCTTGAGGCTAGGTGTTGCTGTTATTTTCTGGAATGCAGACTTGTAAAGCACCCCTTACTCCACAATAGCTTTTCCATTCTGCAGCTCCAACTAGAGAAAGCATGCAAACTGCACCAGGAAATGGGAGGAAAGTGGACAGCCAAGCCTGCAAGTTGGTCAGTTATGCGGGGAGCAAGGGCACAAGGAGGAGGGAATGGCAGAGGACGATGATGAACAACTCAGGGAACACTGCCCAGATCTCAGCTGATGTACAAGGACTACCGTCCATGCAGTATATGGTGCCAGTTGACAGTCGGTGGCTGAATGGCAGCTGCCCAGACAATGAAGTAGCTCTGGGCCAACTCAGCAGATGGAGGGATGTCTGTGGCTCCATACCAGACATTGTGAGTTGCCAAAGTCTCCCCATCCCAAACACACACGCACACACACACACACACACACACAGAGAGA